CCACACTCATCAAGAAAAAAAAGAAGACTCAAATCAATAGAATTAGAAATGAAAAAGGAGAAGTAACAACTAACACTGCAGAAATACGAAGGATCGTGAGAGATTACTACAAGCAAATTTATGCCAATAAAATGGACAAATTCTTAGAAAAGCACAACCTTCCAAGACTGAGCCAGGAAGAAATAGAAAATATGAACAGACCAATAACAAGCGCTGAAATTGAGACTGTGATTAAAAATCTTCCAACAAACAAAAGCCCAGGACCAGATGGCTTCACAGGCGAATTCTATCAAACATTTAGAGAAGAGCTAACGGCTATCCTTCTCAAACTCTTCCAAAATATAGCAGAGGGAGGAACACTCCCAAACTCATTCTACGAGGGCACCATTACCCTGATAACAAAACCAGCCAAAGATGTCATAAAGAAAGAAAACTACAGGCCAATATCACTGATGAACATAGATGCAAAAATCCTCCAAAAAATGCTAGCAAACAGAATCCAACAGCACATTAAAAGGATCATACACCATGATCAAGTGGGGTTTATCCCAGGAATGCAAAGATTCTTCAATATACACAAGTCAATCAATGTTATACAGCATATTAACAAATTGAAGGAGAAAAACCATATGATCATCTCAATAAATGCAGAAAAAGCTTTCAACAGAATTCGACACCCATTTAGGATAAAAACCCTCCAGAAAGTAGGTGTAGAGTGAACTTAACTCAACTTAGTAAAGGCCATATAGGACAAACCTGCAGCCAACATCGTTCTCAATGGTGAAAAACTGAAAGTATTTCCTCTAAGATCAGGGACAAGACAAGGTTATCCACTCTCACCACTATTATTCAACACAGTTTTGGAAGTTTTAGCGACAGCAATCAGAGAAGAAAAAGAAATAAAAGGAGTCCAAATCAGAAAAGAAGAAGTAAACTGTCACTCTTTGCAGATGACACAATACTATACGTAGAGAATCCTAAAGTTGCTACCAGAAAACTACTAGAGTGAAGCAATGAATTTGGTAAAGTAGCAGGATACAAAATTAATGCACAGAAATCTCTTGCATTCCTATGCACTAATGATGAAAAATCTGAAAGAGAAATTAAGGAAACACACCCATTTACCATTTCAGCAAAAAGAATAAAATACCAAGGAATAAACCTACCTAAGGAGACAAAAGACCTGTATGCAGAAAACTATAAGACACTGATGGAAGAAATTAAAGATGATACAAGCAAATGGAGAGCTATACCATGTTCTTGGGTTGGAAGAATCAACATTGTGAAAATGACTATACTACCCAAAGCAATCTACAGTTTCCATGCAATCCCTATCAAACGACCAATGGCTTTTTCTTCAGAACTAGAACAAAAGATTTCACAATTTGTATGGAAACACAAAAGACCCCGAATAGCCAAAGCAATCTTGAGAACGAAAAACAGAGCTGGAGGAATCAGGCTCCCTGACTTCAGGCTATATTACAAAGCTACAGTAATCAAGACAGTATGGTACTGGCATGAAAACAGAAATATGGATCAATGGGACAGGATAGAAAGCCCAGAGATAAACCCACGTACATATGGTCACCTTATTTTTGATAAAGGAGGCAAGAATATACAATGGAGAAAAGACAGCCTCTTCAATAAGTGGTGCTGGGTGAACTGGACAGCTACATTTTAAAGAATGAAATTAGAACACTCCCTAACACCATACACAAAAATAAACTCAAAATGGATTAAAGACCTGAATGTAAGACCGGACACTATAAAACTCTTAGACGAAAACATAGGCAGAACACTCTATGACATATATCACAGCAACATCCTTTTTGACCTACCTCCTAGAGAAATGGAAATAAAAACAAAAATAAACAAATGCGACCTAATGAAACTTAAAATCTTTTGCACATCAAAGGAAACTATAAACAAATCGAAAAGACAACCCTCAGAATGGGAGAAAATATTTGCAAATGAAGCAACTGACAAAGGATTAATGTCCAAACTTTACAAGCAGCTCATGCAGCTCAATAACAAAAAAACAAACAATCCCATCCAAAAATGGGCAGAAGACCTAAACAGACATTTCTCCAAAGAAGATATACAGGTTGCCAACAAACACATGCAAGGATGCTCAACATCACTGATCATTAGAGAAATGCAAATCAAAACTACAATGAGCTATCACCTCACACCGGTCAGAATGGTCATCATCAAAAAATCTACAAACGATAAATGCTGGAGAGCGTGTGGAGAAAAGGGAACCCTCTTGCTCTGTTGGTGGGAATGTAAACTGATACAGCTACTATGGAGAACAGCATGGAGGTTCCTTAAAAAACTACAAATGGAACTACCATATGACCCAGCAATCCCACTACTGGGCGTATACCCTGAGAAAACCATAATTCAAAAAGAGTCATGTACCAAAATGTTCATTGCAGCTCTATTTACAGTAGCCAGGACACGGTAGCAACCTAAGTGTCCATCAACAGATGAATGGATAAAGAAGATGTGGCACATATATACAATGCAATATTACTCAGCCATAAAAAGAAACGAAATTGAGTTATTTGCAGTGAGGTGGATGGACGTAGAGACTGTCATACAGAGTGAAGTAAGTCAGAGAGAGAAAAACAAATACCATATGCTAACACATATATATATATATATATATATAGAATCTGAGAAAAAAGAAAATGGTTCTGAAGAACCTAGGGGCTGGACAGGAATAAAGACACAGAGGTAGAGAATGAACTTGAGGACACGGGGAGGGGTAGGGAAAGCTGGGAGGAAGTGAGAGAGTAGCACTGACATATATACACTTCCAAATGTAAACTAGATAGTGGGAAGCAGCTGCATAGCACAGGGAGGTCAGCTCGGTGCTTTTTGTCCCCCTAGAGGGGTGGGATAGGGAGGGTGGGAGGGAGACGCAAGAGGGAGGGGATATGGGGAGTTATGTATATGTATAACTGATTCACTTTGTTATAAAGCAGAAACTAACACACCATTGTAAAGCAATTATACTTCAGATGTTAAAAAAAAGAATAAGGCTAGAGAAAGCAACTGTAGACCTAGAAACTGGGAGAAAGAAAGAAAATCACTGCTATATTCAGATTGTATAAATATACAAATGGAGAGCCCGAAAGAATCATTGGGAAACGTATTACAAGCAATAAGAAATTTAGTCATGTGGTCGATTACATCAATATATATGAATCATTTGCCATCACATATAACAAATACTAGTTATTTCCAAGGATGGAGGTGCCAGCCCCTAGAGCAGAGAGCTGAGGAGCAGCGTGGGAGGAGCTGGGTTTACTCAGTGCATGATGTGCTTCATGGCTTTCGTATCTCTCATTATAGTTACTACCGCCCAAGCTCCCTCTTTTGAACCCTGAGGCTGAGGAACCAGCACGTTGGAAGCTTGTTTGGTTAATTGTGCTGTGCTGATGTGCTGCTGCCCTATAACACGTATCTTCAATTGGTCTCCACTTGGGCTTTTTTTTTTTTTTTTTACATCTTTATTGGAGTATAATTGCTTTACAGTGGTGTGTTAGTTTCTGCTTTATAACAAAGTGAACCTTGTGACAAAGTGAGAGAGTGGCATGGACATATATACACTACCAAACTTAAAATAGATAGCTAGTGGGAAGCAGCCGCATAGCACAGGGAGATCAGCTCCACTTGGGCTTTTGACGCATTACAGAGATGGCAGTCAGAAAGTGTAATTTGGGCAGGACAGTCTTTTCAGGGCCTCCTCAGTTTCCTTTCTAATATTGCCTCCCCTACCTGGCTCCATAAGAATGCTAGACAAGAATGTTAAGGTATGAAAGACAATATCATTTGTTTAAAAAGTGATGGTGCTGAATGGTCTTTTTGGTTGTGATTTTGAGTTGTCCCAAGTTCAGTGTTTGATCTTCTTTTCTTCAGTTGCTAGAATGGATTTTCAGCTTATTCTCAAGATTAGGCTTTTTATTCCTAAACTGATCATTTATAATGGATTGTAGATACTTTTTATTAGTTATGAAACCGCCATATGTTTCAGCCTTTCCCCCCATTACTTCCCACTGGGTCTTTTCCTGCTTCCTGACCATGCCCTGTACTTTTTTGCCACCCTGTCTTTTCTCAAGCCATTCTCTCTTCCTGGTGCACCCTCCTTCCCTTATTGCTGTCTGAAAGCCTTCCCATTCTTCAGTGCTATTTACAAAGTGCTTTAAAAAAAAAAAACTTATGTTTTCAGTTGAATGTGAATATATTGGTATTTATCAAGGCAAAATCACCCCTTTATTTCTCAGTACTTTGTGTTTGTTCTGTACCCTTCTATTCAACTGTGCATATCTTCAATGCAGGGACTCTGTTTTACCTATGTAATTTCTGAAACACTTTGCTTATTGCTTTGCACAGTGCATGAAGATGAGATTGAGTTTAGAAAAGCCAAGGGGTTAATTCAGTCCAGTGGCATGGACTGGCTATCCAAATTGTCCATAATATCCTACCTTTTGGAAACTATTGATGAGCATAATCAGTCACCAGATCACGCTAGTAACCTGCACAGGAGCAATGGTAGTCTTCACCATGGCACCACCAATCACGACCTACTACTGCTCATATAATTCTGGCCCCTGTCTTCTTATGTTTTCCCCAGGCCCTACAAGCACCTGCAGTCTAGGTGGAGGGTGGGAATTCAACTTGGAACGAGGTCTTTCCTAACAACTGATACCAGCCCAGTTTCCACATAAGGAAGACCATGAGAGTTGGCTCCGTTCATTAAAAACTGCATGATTAACAGTATTTTTTGCTTAAGCCAACAAAGCAACAAGTAGTTTACATTTACAGGTGTGTGTATGTATGAGAGTTTAATAAACCCCACGTTGCTGAGTGTCTTGTCCTTATGAGATTGTTTACCGTTCTGTGAATAAATGTCTAACAACAGGTGAGATATTTTCAAGTATCTCTACATATGAATTATTCTTCGAAAACACCAAGTCTTTCTTTTCTTGCAGGAATCCAGACGCCTTGAAGTCACAAGAAGAGAAGGTAGGGAAGATGCATTCATACTCGTTTCATTTTCGTTGTTGGCATTTGGATGTAGTTTGTTGAAGTTAAGACGAACTTCAGCCTGTTCTTTGACATTTCGTGTGACCTTTTCTGGGTGCTGAGTATTTGTCACTTGCCTCTAGGGACTGCAGGAACTCAAGTCCAGGTTTGCTTGTGAGAACTACGTCTTCTACCTTCTAGTATCAGAGATGGGATCTGGCGAACTGGCTTATTCATGATAATGTTTACAGTCTCTCCAGAGAGGCCTCATCTTTTGAGTGAAGTTTGAAGTAATAATTTAGTTCCACCCAGTGAAAACCACTTCAACAATAAAAAATGGTTTATGGTTTGAGGTATTTCAATATCTGGGAACATGTGCCACTGTGAAAAATATTTCTGATTAGATTTTTACAACTTTAGTTAAGCTGAAATAGATATATGCAATTAATTTCCCTTCTGAAAACAATGCAATGGTGTTTTATTTTCCCTGCCAGAGTTCCTCTAGCACATTCGTTTTCTGATCACTGAGGTAAATATATATATGGGTGGTAACTTCTGAAATCTTTTAGTGGAAATTGAAGTTTACTTGCTTTCAGTAATACCTGGCCTCTCATGAGAGGGTGTCTTTTGTATGATTTATGGAAATCACCACCAGTCAGCCCTTTATTGCAGGGATGGGAAGATGAAGTCAGAAACCAAAGTGAGTTCTTGGTCTAGAGTCTGGCCTTTGGCTTTAGCCCTAATCACGCCTCGACCTCTGTGGTATTGTCTCCAAAAAGAGCGCCAATCTTTAAAAGTGAGCAAATACCATATTGACTTTCAAATCTAAAAACCTCCCCCGGGTTTAGTTCTTATTTTATGCAGCACAGTGAAAGACACAGAATGGCCATGTTACCAAAGTGTGTTCCTAGACCTAAACTTTCCATACTATCTGTACCGATGGGTTAATAGAACTGGTTGTTTGCTGCTGTCCATGGTGCTGGAATCCTGGATACAAAGGATCTGGATTATCTAGCTATAGGATGAATTTTCTGGCTTTCATTCTCATTTGCCATCATCTGGTTTTGGACTCAGTGTCCTCTGAACTGCATCCATAGCGTAAATGCATTGTTTGGATATCAAAATCAAATGAAATTGGATGAAGGTGGGTGGGGCAGGGAAGGCATATTTCTTATTCAAAGGTGTGTTCACAGTGAGTGCGATAACATGTAAACTGGAGAGAAATAGCCATTAGGAGAGAGGTTGGCATGAACTTTGGTTTAGAATGCTATTCATTCACTACCCCTGAGTGTGATTGTTTAGAATTCATTTGAGTTATGGAATCACATATAAACTTAACTGTTTTGGAATATTACTGTCCTTGTGTTAGAAATGTCTTTGAATAGTAAGGCTAGGGTATGAAAGAACCACATGTACTTTTGCTCAAAGACATAAAAGGCCTTACTGTACCCGGGACTCCCAATTCCTAGAAGACTGAGTGTCTGAGGATGAGCAAAAGCATGGTCAGGCTGTGCTCTAATCATCCATAATCCCCTTCTCTCTAGAAGCAGCATGTTTCACAACTGGCATATGCCTTGGGTTTGTACTGGTAAATTTGTCTTGACATAACATAAACCTTTTTCTTCCTATTGTGAACTGATGTGTTTCTTGCTTGTTTCTGGTAAGGCTGAGTGTTTGAAAATTCCTGAAATAGCCCAGTGCCTTAATGTCAGTGCTTATAACCCGGCAGGAAGGAAGGAAGAGTGGGTTCCGAGTATTTTCAAGTCTGAGATTCACAGGCTTGGGTAGTAGGGTTGTTAATCTTTTTTTTTTTTTTTTTTTTGGTATAGATGACTTTTTTTATAAACAGTAAAATATATGTGATGTCTCAACTACAAGCCTTTCATGTTGAAAGGGTCTCTAACATGAGTTACTTTAATATTTTGAAACAAAAAATTTAAGAATGTCACAATGGAAACAATCCAATACTGACAAGCTCTAGTGATCAAAGACATTCTCTTTTAGTTAATGTAAAACAATTCATAATTACAGAGAATGTTCTAGCTGTGGATATCATGAGACAAACCACCTTTTCAGACCAAAAGGAACTCAAGGCTAGGGATGAAATGGAGCTCTGATGCAAACCAGCCAAGTGGGGCTGGTTCCTTTAAAACAGTGGTCACCGACTGTTCAGCTTGAGCAGTCCAAGGACAAAGGAAAGCAGAAAACATTTCCTCCTCTTTAAACCTGCTATTCATACCACACGTACTGACCACTCTCATTGCTTTGGTCAAGTGCGTGGAAGGCAGTTCAATTCCAGTTCGGAGCCACCATCTCCCCATGCAAAGCTGCCCTGTGGATGATCCAGACTTAGTATTTTTCCTGAGAGCCACCTGCCAGACATGTTCATGAGGTGACCACAACTGTATACTTTCAGACTGCTTCCTGACTAGGCTCCATCCAGGACAGACACTGACAGTGCCATTCCTCACGGGGCCAAATAGTTTTCCTTGGTCAACTCCTGAGTCCCCATGACAAGGCAAGAGGAACTTGAGAACCTTCGTTGCTGGACTTATACGGGAGCATGAGAGTAGGGTTATTAATCTTCTCCAGAACAGTGTATGGGTATAAAAATAGTAGAAGCACTGTGAATATTTCAATAAACTATTATTCCTACAAACACAAGTAAGACATTTTTGTCTAGCAACATACACTTATCTTGATCTGGCACTGAAAGAGGAGCAAATAATTAACACTCTGAATTTTCCTGCCCAGTTTACCAAGCCCAGGAGATTCTGGAAAGGTCTAGAGAGGTAGCCTCTGAACCACAAAACCCAAGATGTTTTCCTTTTTTTTTGTTTGTTTTAATACTACATCTGACTCAAGATATCAGCTCCAACCAGAGTTCATTGCAACAAATGGATGACCAATTGCAACTTTACACTATGTGACTTTTGCAAACTCTTGAATAGGTCTGTGGAGTGAGAAATGAGGGGGCTAATATTAGCAGTGGAAATGGAGTCTGGGCTAAGTCACAGTTGGGTTAGAGATCATTAGGATGACATGAATGCACTGTGTGCCTCAGACCCAGTCTCTGCTTTATTTCCCCCTGTGGCCCTCCCATCCAGTGATGTCACAGTTCCCAGATTGTAGCCCAGCTTTCTTGCCTCTGGCCTTCACTGTTCCTGCAGCCTGCATGCTCCTTGTCCCTCATCTTTTGTGAAATTCCACCTCTCCCTCACCCCTTCCAACTCTCTTTCTGAAGATTTTTGCTTACCCTACTTTACCTGAGAGTTAAGGGCTCCTATTAGGTCATTCAGTTCCTGAGAGCTGAGACCCTCCCCTCGTTCACTCCCAGAGTCCTCAAGGCCTTAGCCCAGGGCCTATAGTTGCTCAACAATCATTTCTTGAATAAAGTGCAAATTTAAAAATTGCTTTTTATATGTGCTTTTCACTCTGATTCTGTCCTAGTGCCAAGCAAGAGAGGCACTGAGTCATTGGTTCTACAAAGGCACTTTTAGGGAGTGTTCTGTGGATATCTAGATATTACCAGCTGGTGCATTGATGAAAGTGCTCTATGTTCACATAAGCTTGGTACTATGGGTTGAATTGTGTCTCCCAAAAAGGTATGTTGAAGTCCTAACCCAGAACATGTGAATGTGACCTTACTCGGAGATACGGTCTTGGCAGATGTGTAATTAAGTTAAGATGAGATCATACTGGAATAGGGTGGGCCCCAATCCAATGAGTGAGATCCTTTTGAGAAGAGAGAAATGTGGACACAGACACACAGGGAGAACAGCATGCTTCGATGAAGGCACAGATTGGAGAGATGAGTCTGTAAGCCAAGGAACACCAAGGATTGCTGACAATCACCAGAAGCTAGGAAGAAGTGACAAAGAATCCTCCCCTAGAGCCTTCAGAGGGAGTGTGGCCATGTCAACACCTTGATTCCTGACTTCCAGTCTCCAGAACTGGGAGAAAACAGATTTCTCTTGTTCCACTCAGGTTATGGAACTTTGTTACAGCAGCCATAGGGAAATAATACACTTGGTAAAGGCTGGACTCAATATTGAGCTAGTAGTTGTTATTTTTTACTGCAGAACCTCTCAGCTCTTTAAGATGCTAAACAGGACTTTCAAAAGGAGGTGTAATATGCAGCATTTCCCAAACTTAGTTTCCCATGGCATCTTGACCTGTTGCTTTTAATCATCTCTGGGCTGACATTCCATGCAGTGCCCTTTGCAAGCCCTGCTCTAGAGAGTCCATGGAGAGAGGGAGTGCTTCATCAGAGCCCCGGACATGCCCCAGCACCAGTGACTGTCTTCCAAGGGTGGTGCATGGAGAGAATGGTGAGCTAGTTATAATGATAACTATGTCTCAGTGGCTCTGAAGTTTTCAGAGAGCTTTCATGTTCTTTACCTCCCTTGACTCTCAGTAACCCATGGTATGAGCAGAGCAGATAGCACCTTGCATGAGGCTCCTTCCTTTCCATGCTAATTTTGGTAGGAACAAAGAGTCCTCTGGGTCAGTGTCCCCCTGGACCAATGTCCCTCTGATGCAGTGAACCTCTCTAATGGGCGGGGTGGGGTGGCTTAAGTGACTTGATCTTGCTTCACCATCCAAGGATTTCTAAACATACATGATCACTGCCAAGCCCAGAAAGCTGAGCGGGACTCTTGGAAGAAAACTTCCTAAGGGAGCTTTGTTTCCAATTTAGATATGTGGTCAGGGCTCTTGGGAGATAGAGTATCAGAGGTTGTGGCAGGACAGCAACACTGGGAGGACGTCTCTTAGGAAGGGTACATGCCTACCCCAGCTGGACCTACTTCCACCTTCAGGGCAGTCCTATATTATCCTCCTGCCCTGGGACCCGCCTGTGCCAGCTGCACGGGGAAGGAGAGATGGCTGCTTCTTTATCTTCTTTCTAAGGCAGGTGTTTTTACACCTTCCTCTAGACACCTACAATTTAATTTTAACTTTTTCTAAAGCTTCAGCAAAAGTTGCCAACCTCACCTCTCCAAGACACTCCCATGTTCACTCTGAGGCCTGATGCTGATTATGACTGCCAGAATTCATCTACTCAGACCAGTGCTTTTCTCTAACTGATCCCATCACATTGAATTCCAGCCATGAGAGAACACTTGAGTAAGCTGAGCAAGCAACTGGGATAATTCAGCCCTTGTCAGCCATCTCTTAGAGCGTGGGGTGATCTGTAAGCTCCTCCAGATGTCTGTGCTTGTGCTGCCATTAGAGGCTGTGGGTTTGGGGGTGGGCACCAATGTCACGTTGCATTACCCACCCTCCCAACGATGGTTCACTCACACATTCCAGTCTAGACCAGCTTGGTGTGGCTTCCAGCAGGGCTGTGAGGGAAACCTGAGAGGAGGGACGCTGCTGTCTTCACGGAAAAAGAGAGGGGAGTGACAGTCACACAGCCAGGCTGGCTCTGGCTCCTTAGCAATGCAAATCTCCTACATAAACATGACCTGCCAGTCCTGAGTGTGTAACTAGAGCCTCACTTTGTGAAAACCCTTGGAATTATCCCCTTAATTGGCAGCTGCCTCTAATAGCCCCTTTATAGTTCTTTGCATCTGGGTGAACTTCAGCTATCAAGAATTGCATTCTGTTTGCCATTAATTTTGATTTTGTTTAACAGATGTTTTCTGGATCTCTCAGCTGCCTGCATAATCTATCTTGGTGTAATGTACAGTGGGTGACTGTCTTCGATGAAACAGATTAATAAACTCCTAGCTTCTTTTGAGATAACTTCTTGAATGGTTGCAGATGTAACAAATTTAAAAGGGAGCCATCCAGATTTGGCAGTGCCTGGGATGGTGGGTCCTTTTCCAATCAAGACTGCCATATGGGGAAAGAAATGGGGTTTCCTTCCCCATCCTACCCCCACTCTATACAGCGGAGCTTGTTGGTTCTCTCCTGCAGTCATTGGGCTCCAAAAAGGTGGAGGTGGCATCTAACTCCTTCAATTTCTAGCCCCACAGCAGTTGACTCTTTCTGGATAGAGCTGCCACTCTTTAGCTGCTGCAAAACTGTGTTGTACCTAGTTGCCCCAGGTTAAGTGGGGAGTGGATGACACAGCTGGCTGATGTGTTCTGGTTGCATACAACGTTTTGGCACCCAGTTTAGTCATGACCAATTGGCAGACAGTAGAATCCCACCTCTCCAACTACAGTGTGCCTTCGGGGAAGTTACTCAGTCTTCTCTGAAAAAAATGAGGATAGTAATAGTATAGACCATTAGTCCCAACTCTGGGTTGTTGAAACCCAACTTGCACTGGCTAAAGCCTAAAAGCCTGTGAAACTGCAGAATCTAAGGGAGGGTGGATCTGGCTTCAAGAACAGCTTATACAGGGATTCTGACACCCCTTCTCCGTCCTCCTCTTGGTGTGTTGGCCTCTTCCACACAGCTTTGCAGGATGACCCCTAGCAGCTGCAGCTCACAGGGTCCTGACTGCTCACCATCTCAGAGGGTGAAACGTCTTTCCTCCAGAGTGACAGAAAAGTCTCAGTGAGGATTCTGATTTGCTGGCCTTGTATAATATCACGACTCGAGCCCTAAACCAATCACTGTGGCATGGAGGGACTGGAATACTGTGATTGGCCAGGCGAGATCAAATATTCTCCCCTTGGGGTTTGCAGAATCACCCTTACTCAAATGCCAGGGAGTGGGTGTAGGTTTGGTCCACAGAGGAAGGATGCTGGGCAGCATGCAATCAATGCCCCTCACAGCCTCCTGGACATAATATGGGGAGGGATTTGGCATGGAGGGCCCTTGGCACAGTGTGGGCAGTGGCGT